GCAGCTGGTGGAGTGTGTGCTCTGCAGTGCTGTGCTGTTGTAACCTCTCTCTGAGCTTTCCGCGCTTGTTTCTCCTCCAGTTTCCGCTGTTTCTTTGCTCCGACTTTTCCAGCAGCTTGAGGACGTTCCTCAGACGCGTTTCTGCCCTCCTCATCCTCATCAGCCTCCACTGGACTGTCCTCTGAGCGCACACACACAAACGCTTTACACTCAATGAGACGTATAAAATGGTGACAGAGTACACCAAAACAGTAATAATCATCAGCAAAACCTCATTACAATGCTCTGCATGTGTAAAATCAATGCTTCTACATTGTACTTATAGCTGCATGTAACACATAATTAATTTCTGCAGCTACATCTTTAATAAAACCCTTAAACCTACCCATTCCACCATAATCCATATCTCACACACAAGTGTACATTATACATTATGATCACAGTAAGTACATTGTTTATATATATTTTGATGTAGTAAACAGTAGAGAAGACCCCCTTATATAAAGTGGAAGCCACTAAGATGAATGAACTGCGTCTGCAGTGCGCAGCTCTTCGGCAGCTGCTGCACAGATCAATCTATCTCTGTCTGTTCTATCTAGTTACCTATCATCCATCCATCCATCTATCTAGACATACACTTTTTTTTCCATCTGCATCCAGGCCCGAGGCCACCTCCTATGCTGTTTCCTTAACCTGCAAGTCTTTATTTTACAATTGATATATATCCTACAGAACTGTTTGCTTTTCACGCTCTATGAGGAGTGTCATTCATGTCTCGCGCACTCGGTCAGAAGACAAATCGCCTGTGATATCATGTCATTTTGTTTTTGATGGTCAGGAAGTTGTAGGACTGGTTATAATATTTATATAAAATGAAAATATGGTGTCAATATCTTTAAGCATCGCAGAGATACAGCCTCACATGTTGTTTGGCATCATGCCAGCAGATTTGTCGGTGTACTACACAAAAACTGTTAAGCCAATCGGCGGGAACTTTTTGTCAGCACGGTCTGGAGATAATCCGAGTCAAATTTGGCGAAAATCGGACCAACGGTCTAGGAGGAGTTCGAAAAAGTAGCGTTTCAATTTGCATAACAATGGCAGACAGGAAGTTGGTCAAATTTAGAAAAATTTGGTATCAATGCGTGCATGACCTTCCAAGGAATCTATCAAGACCAGTCACGTGACAATAAGGTTAACGCTAAGGAATCAGACGCTGGATTCGAACCAGGTTCATGATCGATCGTGTTAAAACATGTTGCCATGCGCTTTACGAGCTACGCCACTCACACTGCTGATGTCCGCTCTCTTTAGTTATGTTGTCTCTGTCAATCAAACGGGCGGGAATCACTCAACTAGCTCATTGCAACAAGGTTTGCTATTTGCACTAAATAGACAATACAAAATTGTGCACGTTTACATCGGACCATTTCTTGTTTAATTCACTCACAGTGCGATGTTCAGACCCCACTGCATTAACCGCGTCAGCTAAACTCTCCCACTTTATTGTTTTCTTTTGTTATTAATTCCGGAGGACAAACCTCAGATAGGAGCACCTCCAATCCACATTTTGTCAAGTTTCTCTTCTTGCTTGCTTTTGCCTTTGCATTGTTGTTTGTTTTTTTGCCAAAGTGGAGTCATTAGCATATTCATACGGGGGAGGAGGCAGGGAGGAGTTTTGTGCTCGTGCACGTGCGCTCAGTTTCACATTAATTCAGATGTACAAAGAGAATATGTGTGGGATTCAGCGTACACTGTTTCATACATCTGATTATTTTACTGCGGATACGCACATTTACCTTTTGTAAAGCACTTTAGTCAACATCTGTTGTTTTTAAAAGTGCTCTATGAATAAAGCAAACAAACAAAAACAACTAACTAAAATTGTTTTACATTTGGTTTTGTAGTTCGGCCCTACACATATATTTGTTGCTGTTTTTAATCGTTTGAGTTAATTTGATTGACTATATATAAATCAGTGGATATTATTGATGCATTCATTAGGTTAAATTGCTAGTTTTTATTGTCATTCAATGTGTTTTGGTCATTATCAATGCGCTGTCATCTTAATTGAGCGTGAGCAGTGCGGCAAAAGTAGATCCAGTGCCGAAACTATCACGACCCTGCTGCTTCAGCAATGCGCTTCTACTGCGCGCGGTGTGAAAGCTCTAATCCAGGGGTCACCAAACTTGTTCCTGGAGGGCCGGTGTCCTGCACATTTTAGCTCCAACCCTAATCAAACACACCTGAACAAGCTAATCAAGGTCTGTACTTGAAACACCCAAATCCTTAGCTCCAAAAGGAGCTAAATCCTGCAGGGACACCGGCCCTCGAGGACTGAGATTGGTAACCCCTGCTCTAATCCGTTACAAGGACGACGAAAAAACATGCGCTGCTCACGCTTTGCTCGCGCTTGCGGTGTGAAACAGGCTTGATAGCTGAACAGTGCATAAACAAGTAATGGTTCAGTCTGTAGTGCCTGGCTTGCTTTAATAAATGATTACTGTAGCGTCCTGGTTAAAAGATGACTAAGGGTGCTTTCACATCTGTAGTTCGCTTCATTTGGTCTGGACCAAGGGTAATAAATGATGCATTGTTGCCTTTTCTGCCGTCTTTGGGTCGTTTTCACACCACACTGCTGGCTTTGGTCCGAACCAGTTGAAAGGAACCAAAATGCAGTCATCTGACAAAATCCACATCTCTCATTGGCCAGATGTTGTTGAATATATTTCCTAAACTGCTTATTGATTGGTCAGAATTCACGTGCAGGAAAATGTCAATCAACTCCCGCTGGTAAAGCGCTGTCAACAAATATTTTTCCTCCATATCCCATATTGCACAGCGCATCGGCCTACGGCAGCTGAATTAGTCCAAAAGGTGCAGTACTTTTTGCGGTTGGACCTGTTTTAGCACAGATCATATTCTCACCACAAACGAACCGCTCCAGGGTTGGTTTGAAAGCGTACCGAGACCACCTCTTCAAGCAGGTCTCGGTACGCTTATTTGGTCCGCTTTTGGTGCGCACTCGAGTACGATTGCTGCATTCTCACCTGCCCAAACCAACCGCACCAAAAGGGAAAACGAACTCTAGTGCGATTCAATCCAACTAAATAAGGCAGGTGTGAAAACACCCTAAGTCTTTCATGATGGTTCATGATTCATTTATTGATCACATTCCATAGAATACTTTGTATTATTTCATCATGAATTAGAACTAGAGAGAAAATAACTAAAACACAAATAAATCTTAAACGAATAAACCAAATTACCTTATTTTTCCCTCAAACCAGGAGCTATAACTCATGAAGGAGGAATTCGTGAAGCAACAGTATACCTGTGCCCCCTTTTACCGCGTTTCACCTAGAGTTCCATACTTTGTTTTCATTCATTACTACACGCAATATATACATCCAATAGGCTCCACAGTTTTGACGTCATAATTAAACCAGCAGACTGAGGAACAGCTTTTTCCCCAGAGCTGTCTCCCTCCTGAACTCCGCCCCCCACTGACTCTTTTGCCCCCCAATACACCCCCCACTCTCCTCTAACTTAAACTCCTCGCAATAACTGCACTGTTTAACATTTGCACATTTAAAAATTTGCACATTCACTGCACCACATTGAGCTGTTTACTTATTGAACTGTACATAACCACTGCATATGGACATTTGTAATTATGTACACACCCACTATACATTTACACTTGTAATCATGCTTATTTATCTGCACACTACTGATTATTAATAGCAACCTGTACATATATTCATATATTGTAACATATACACTTGTAATCATGTTCATCTATCCCTGTACATATATTCATATATTGTAACATATACACTTGTAATCATGTTTATTTATCTGCACACTACTGATTATTAATAGCAACCTGCACATATATTCATATATTGTAAATCTGCTCATAGCTTATCCAACCTGTATATAATGTTCATAGTACATCCATCTGTAAATATCACCATAGTTTTCTATAACTGCACTTTATAACTTATTCCTGTATCCTGCACTTGCTGCTATTGCACTGCTGGTTAGACCTAAACTGCATTTCGTTGCATTGTACTTGTACATGTGTAATGACAATAAAGTTGAATCTAATCTAATCTAATCTAAAGTCCCCAAACATCTTAATTCATTCAACAATTCAAACCGTATACAAAATACAACACAACAAAACAAATTCTAAATCATAAACAAAGTAACACATTATTTCAACTATAAAAGCTCAAATGTAATGTCTGTCAGTGCTGCATACCGTTGTCTGATGCCCGCTGAGCCCGCTGTGCGTTCACTCTGCTGTGGAGACCCCTGCGGCGGCGTGGCATCCCTGCTGCTCGCTCCGGTGCCGCCTGCGGGCGCGCTGAGACTCGAGCCGTGACATTCTGATGATCCTCAACATCAGCTGGAGGAATACACACATTTACATGTTTACTTACTTTAGCTCTTCTTTTTTTGACAACACACTTTACTGAGGGTCTGTTATTAGGACACAGATAATGTTCTCCAGCTCTCTAAAACTGACCCTTTCAGGTTTGATCCTAATTGTGCTGTTTTGGTGACTGTCGCTTTAAATGCAAATGAGATTGTGCTCTTTTCAGAAGAGGGCGGAGCTACAGACGACTGTGCGTCAGCATAGTGACAGATGTAAAACTAGTCAGGTGTGCATGTGTGCTTGAGTGTGAGTGTGTGCTTGATGCTTCTGTCAGTCTATGTGGCTCCTGTCGCTAGTGATGGTGAAATGAAGCTTTCTGAACCAGTGAAGCGCTCGACTCAATTGTATCAGAAAAAGGTTCGTTACTCGAAGCTTTCCTAATCAGAGCTCGATGAGGACCTCTTCTGGTGAAAGTGTGGGAAAGCACTGTGTTGCCATAATGTCAAATGTTCACAACTGACCAACTCATTCATGTAGTAATACAACAACAGCAATATAAACAAATTACTCAATTACTGTAGTTTTTACACAAGATATATTACATTACACAAATGATGACTGTAGTAAAATCCAAGATATTCAAAAGTTTATCATAACACAATTAGTCCCGCTCCAAGCAGGGATTGAACCAGCGATTCCTGATTGGGAGGCGAGTGCTCTAGGAGGACGCTATGTGAGCGATGCTTAAGAGTCGCGTTTACCAGATGGTCTCTGTTAAACACAATACTACGATATGCGGTGGTTTTCTTTAAAGATAGTCATAAAAAAATACGCTAATACACTTTAGTATTGTTCAAAACCTTTTTACTAAAAAATACTATTGTAGTTTAGTTTAATTACTGGTGTGTGGGACTGGTGCAGTGCTTTGAAACAAATGTATGTAATAGACGCCAATTCTCTAGCTATACACTTTACTATGAGGGTGTTTAAACCTTTGAATCAAAATTGGAAGCAGTCACGTGGGTAAAGGCGAAAATGAAGCTTCGGACGTCACTGATCACGTGATGATGGCAAAACGAATCAAGCTCCGGTACACTGCTTCACTGCGAGATGTATCGTTTTTTTGATACATGCTTCGAAGCCTCGGCGCACAACGTCACATCACTACCTGTCGCTGTTCATCTAAAACTCCACATCTATAATCCTCTTAGTCTATGCTGACATTATCTTCAGCAGCTCAAACACTCTAATGGCTAATGGACAGACGGCTGCTTCTCACTCAGGGCTGCTGGAGATGCTAATGAGATGGAGAGATGGGCGCTAGTGGGCGGGGCTTTCCCCCTCTGATGACATGTACAAAGGGAGAATGTCAATCACAGTGCTTCACTCATCAAGTCTGATTAGAATAAATGCAATTAATTCACATTTATCATCAGAGGCTGGAGAGATTCACACACTGCTGACACACAACTGGGTTCAAACCCATTATAAAAGTGACTTTTGCATAATAGGTGCTTCTTTAAAGCTTGCTTGATTTAAAGTATGATTGTCCGCTTGTGTGATAAACATAAATAAATATGACCATCCTCATTACAAGAACATCAACACTAACACAATAGTATTTTGAGTTGGACATCACTATTACATCAGACAAACCATATGCATATGTTGAAGCGTTTTAGCATACATGCTGATTTTCAACGCCTGTACAAAGAAGGCTTGTTGCTAAAATAATTATGATAACGATGATGATTAGAATGTTGGGTGGCACGGTGGCTCAGTGGTTAGCACTGTGGCCTCACAGCAAGAAGGTCTCTGGTTTGAGTCCCGGCTGGGTCAGTTGGTGTTTCTGTGTGGAGTTTGCATGTTCTCCCCGTGTTGGTGTGGATTTCCTCTGGGTGCTCCGGTTTCCCCCACAGTTAAAACATATCGTCACCTTGGATTTATACAGGGGTGTCAAACTCAATTCCTGGAGGGCCGAAGCCCTGCACGGTTTAGTTCCAACCCTGCTCCAACACACTTACCTGTAGGTTTCAAACAAGCCTGAAGGACTCAATGAGTTTGATCAGGTGTGTTTAATTAGGGTTGGAACTAAACTGTGCAGAGCTGCGGCCCTCCAGGAATTGAGTTTGACACCTGTGATTTATAAGGTTCTGTCTGCGTTCTGAATGATGTTGAGATAGAGCTTTAAAGTTTTTGCCGCCCATAGTAAACAGTATGTGTGTGACATTTGTTTTTGAAATAAAAAGTCCCAAAATGGAAACAACTTAATAGAAAAAAACATCCCATAATGTAAATAAGTTTTTATTTAATATGAATATGTAAATAACTCAATTTTGACAAAAATGTCAGATAGAACCTTATAATTCTAAGGTGACGACATGCGCTATAGGAGAATTGATGAACTAAATTGGCCGTAGTGTATGAGTATGTGTAAATGAGTGTGTACAGGTGTATCCCAGTACTGGGTTGCAGCTGGAAGGACATCCGCCGCGTAAAACATATACTGGAATAGTTGGCGGTTCATTCCGTTGTGGCGACCTCTGATAAATAAGTCGAAAGAAAACCAATGAATATCCACAATGTTTAAATTCCCAGTTATGATTAATTTAAGTTGGTGTATTATACCTTTTAAATATTAGAGAATATTAGATTATTCCTTAATTACATCCACAAAGTTCATTATTTGTTTCAATTTAATTGTATTATTTACTGCAGTGCATACAAGTATGCATTTTAGAAAAATCTTAATACTGCTTCTAAATAAGTATTATTATATTAGTTCATTTCAATATATTTTTCATTACATTTCTATTTATTTACAGTTGAATATGACTGTAAAATAAACCATAAAACATAAATAAATCGATATATTAAGATTTATTTAGGACATAAACTATTTATGTTATTTAAAGTACTTTTTTTGGTACATTTTCGGGAACATTTCAGTTTTTATAATAAAAAATGCTCGTCACTTCCGCTTTAACCAATTCAATTCTGATGTAAAAATTCTGTAAATAAAAAGTATGAGCTGGACAATCAATTTCCCACAGATTACCCATTTACAGACGTTTATTATTATCAAAAGCTCAATATTCACTCCAGTAATATGCGGTTTGATCACCAGCATCAGTGTTTATGAAGTGTAAGTATATTAATATATCCATATTTCACGTGACAGCTGCTGATTTATGAACATATTTCGCTCACCGTCTTGAGTTCGTCCGCGGATCTTCACAGAAAACACTATCAGCACCAGCAGAATCGCTGCAGCTGCGATATAGAGAACCACATCCATGTCAAACCATTAAAATATAATATAAAAACAAAGCTGATAACTTAAAGCTGCTCACTGCAGCCAGAGGAAGTCGACGTTGCTTTAGATCGCGCGTCACTTCTGTTTGTCTTAACGCGCCCTCTGAAGGTGTGGAGGAATGTTTTTAGAGATATATACAGTAGCTGTCGCCTACCCTTGTCTATTAGGAAGGCGTCAATAGAGCCGCCATTTTAGTACAGGGTCGCGCTCCTTTGAAATGAAAGCGGGACCAAGCTGAAGTGGAGGACTGTGGCCATTTAGAGCCAGAGAATTACACATATACACTATGATCAGGATTTTCCCCGGAGGTTAGTGTGCAATTATTATTTTTTAATTACGAAACTTATAATTTTACATCACTTTTCTACATTGGTGGATGAGTGATCGCACAGGTATTCCTGACAAAAAAGCTTGTGTTTGTGTGTATGGAAATGTACTATCCACCCTCCCTGTTAAATTTGATCTAATCATGTCCTGAAACACACCTCCTCTCCTGCTTTCACTGCTCATTCAATTGGATCTTATTGCTGTTGCGATGGCGGCAGCTGCTTTGTTTTTTATTTAGTAATTTACAAAGCACATTGAAGCTGAGATACAACCTGAAAGACGACAATACAACACTTACTATGACAATCATCAGCACTTTTAATAGTTTATTTTACAGACTTACAATATGCTGTTGTTCTATTGGAGTTTTCGTTCAAAAATGGCCGCCGCGCCATCTAGTGGCTGTTTCCCGAATTGCACTAGAGTGTCGCCTCTTGGTGATTCTATGCTCTTTGTTATACGTACAGAAGGTGACAGACAATATTGAACATGTTTTAGGAGCTGATTTATTAGTAAAAGAACAAACAACATTATTATTTACAGTAAGCAGCTGATATTAAGTATTAGAGGTGGAGAACTCCTTCAGAGCCCAGGATTTGGTGGCGATCTCCTGCCGAAGTCGGGAATATTCCTCTGCAAGAGCCTCGAAGTCTTTGCCGTAGATCTCGAAAGATGCCAGTTTAGACTCCACTTCCTGTTTCTCCATCTTGGATGATTTCAGATCCGCGTTGAGTTTCTCCCTGAAAACAACACACACACACACACACACACACAGATTTATTTGGTTAACTACCTCTGAAACACTGCGCTTGTGTGTTTGTGTGATTAATCTGGGCTGCTGCAGGTTTTAAAATGTAAGACTTTTTAAGACCAATGTTAATGAAATCTCAGACATTTTATTCAGGGATTAACTCTAGGATTAGGTGGCACCCTGGCTCAGTGGTTAGCCCTGTGGCCTCACAGCAAGAAGGTCGCTGGTTTGAGTCCCGGCTGGGTCAGTTGGTGTTTCTGTGTGGAGTTTGCATGTTCTCCCCGTGTTGGCGTGGGTTTTCTCCGGGTGCTCCGGTTTTACCCTCAGTCCAAACACATGCGCTATAGGGGAACTGATCAACTAAACTGGCGGTAGTGTGTGAGTGTGTGTGTGTGTGAATGAGTGTGTATGGGTGTTTCCCAGTACTGGGTTTTGGCTGGAAGGGCATATGCGGTCTAAAAAATATGCCAGTTGGCCGTTCATTTTGCTTTGGCGGCCCCTGAAGAATAAGAGACTTAGCTGAAGCAAAAATGAATGAATGAAATAAGATTTTTGGTGGAAAAGATTTTTACTCAAAATATTCGAAGTCAATTTTTTGAAATGTATTTTTTTTACTGATAATGAACTCGTTAAACTAATTATTTTTGTTAAGTTTATTTTTATACAAAAAACTCATTAAATTTAAAGAAAAAAATTTTTTTTATGAAAAAGCTCATTAAATTAAAAGAAAAAAGTAATTTTTTATGAAAAAACTCATTAAATAAAAAAATTGATAAAAACTCATTTAATTTGGGAGAAATTTTTTTAATCGTCATAAAAATCTAGTTACAATTCAAGAAAAAAAGTTGTTAATTTTCATAAAAAAGCTCCTTAAATTTAGAAAAAAAATATATATATTTTTTTATGAAATGAAAGTACATTACATGAAAAAAAAAATGAAAAAGCTTATTAAATTTCAGGAGAAATGTCCTCACTGAAGCTAAGCAGGGCTTAGTACCTGGATGGGAGACCACATGGGAACACTAGGCTGCTGTTGGCAGTGATGTTAGTGAGGCCAGCAGGGGGTGCCCAACCAGCGGTCTGTGTGGGTCGTAATGCTCAGTATAGTGAAGGGGACTCAATACTGCTCAGTGAGCGCCGTCTTTCGGATGAGACATTAAGCCGAGGTCCTGACTCTCTGTGCTCATTAATAATCCCAGGATGTCCTTCGGAAAAAAGTAGGGGTTTAACCCTGGCATCCTGGCCAAATTTGCCCACTGGCTTCTGTCCATCATGGCCTCCTAACCCTCCCCATATCATAATTGGCTTCATGTCTTCTCTCCACCAATCAGCTGGTGTGCGGTCTGGCACAAAATGAGGAGATTCCCCCTATTTGTAAAGTGCTTTGAGTGCCCAGAAAAGCGCTATATAAATGTAAGGAATTATTATTATTAAATTCTACATAAAATAGGATAAGGTTTATTATAAAGCAGACATTAGAATTTGTATTTAAATTAATTATAATAATAATTAATTTTGGATGCACAGAAAAAATCTGCAAAATAATATTTAAGATAGATAAATTAACATCTTGACAAAATTGGGACACATAGCTGCATGACCAAAATAAGTGAGGAAGAGTTTCGTTGTTATTCTGACAAAAGAAGCAGTTTGTGTCAAAATCTGATCCAGATTTTTTCTTTAAGGAGTTTTTGACTGTAATTCTAATTCATTTTCATGAAAAAACTCATTTTATATATATATATATATATATCTGGAAATAAAATGCTTTAATTTTTTGTGAAAAATCATCCTGTTAAATTTCAAGAAAAAAAGTTGTTAATTTTGTGGAAAAATTATTAATTCTTTTTGAAAAAACTCAAACATTAAATGTAGAACACAAAATGTAAAAAACTATTTACAGGGTTCTTACACCTTTTCCAACTTCAAATTCCAGCACTTTTCAAGCACTTTCAAGGTGCATTTTTATGCTTTTCCAGCACCTAACAACCGCGGTAAATTACGTTTATATATATGCTGCATGTACTTTTCCACATTTAAATCCATAATTTGTGCTATTTTACAAAACACAATATAATATTTCAAATTAAATTGTTGAATACTTGAGCATAGATTTATTTGGACAGTTCACCCAAAAATGGTAAAAAAATAAAAATAAATCTTCTACCTAAAGTTGATTTCTCAAAAATGAGCTTACAGTCAGATTTTGTTTGTTTAGTACCAAACTTTCAAGACCAGACGTTCATGATATTTCATGTGCATTGCTATTTAAAATTAATGTAACAAATTAAATCCTTATGGGTCTGAGAATATCCTTACTGAAAATTAATGAACTTTTCCAATGTCAACTGTTTTGAAAATCAGTCACCAAATATGGAAACCATAGTTTGTAAGCTTTCATCATTTCATTTTCTTTTCAGCTTAGTCCCGTTGTTAATCAGGGGTCACTACAGCAGAATGAACCGCCAACTTATCCAGCAAATGTTTTACACAGCGGATGCCCTTCCAGCCGCAACCCAACACTGGGAAACACCCATACACTCTTGCATTCACACAGATACACTACATCCAATTTAGCCTATTTAATTCACCTATAGCTCATGTGTTTGGACTGTGAGGGGAAAACAGAGCACCCTGAGGAAACCCATGCGAACACAGGGAGAAACTCCACACAGAAACACCAACTGACCCAGCTGGGACTCAAACCAGCAACCTTCTTGCTGTGAGGCGAACATGCTACCCACTGCGCCACCATGACGCCGAGCTTTCATCAATATTACTTTTTATTATTATCAATATTACTTTAGGTTAGGACTAAGGTACTGTTGTAACTGTATGCAAATGTCCCACCTGTCAAGTTGTGACAGTTAAGGGGTTAAAGGAAAACATGTTTAATGGTTCAAAACCTCTGTATAAGTCTTGGCATTTTTATAACCTATATATAAAATGACAAATAATCACCAGAGTAGGGATGTGCACAATTATTCGATTAATCGAACTCATCAGCGACAATCGAGCATGAAAACAATGATCAATTGGCTCTAAAATTAAATTACTTTCATTCTTTCTGATTGGTTTCGCTGGTATTCGGGCGGTAGTTTGATATTTGATTGGTTATGGCTGCAGGGAGTTGCGGGCGAGACTTGAGCGCAGACCAACATAGGAGGGTCACACACCAACTTTATTTTATTTACCTCCACCGACTGATCATTTTGAAAGAAACGTTACTTTAATCTTTAAGTTTTACCTATAGCTGTGGTAAAAAATATTTAGGCTATTTTTATTTTAAGTTTACACAGCCAAATTATGCTAGCTTCTAATTTTAGTTAGGCTGTGCTACTTAACAGTCGTTTGGTTACGTTTTGGTGAAACTTTATTTTTGCAAACCTTTTACAAAAAAAAAAAAAAAAAAAAAACGTTTTTTGATCCACATCTTTTGTGATGCTGCTGAAGTAAAATGAACATTTTGAATAAAATTACTGAAATGCAGAGTATCGTGTGTTTTTATTGCTGTTGTCTACAATATAGAGAAAGGTAGGCTATAGTTTTAAAAATGGATCCAAAATATTTATAGAAATAATAAGACACATATTGAAGGGGATAATACTGTAAAATAACTGTTTCCTTTTTTTCTGCTGGGTTTCAGTTGCCGTTGTTTTAAAGCGACCTGTAACTTGAGAACCGCATCCATTACTTTCTGGTTGGCTTGTAGTTTAAGCTCTTATGCATTTTGTGTAGATAAACACAATTTGTAATTTAACATTTTCATATTGTGTCTCTAGGCTTTATGATTAATTTTATTTACAATGCGTCATATTGAAAACCTACATGCCTCAAGTCAGTGGCGGTTCTAGTTTAAAATGGGACCCTGAGTGAACCACCTGCTTTTAGAAATGTACTTAGAAATAAATAATAATAATAAATATTATTATTATTATTATTATTATTATTATTA